AAAAGTACTTTAAACTGTATAAATAATGTAAAATTAAATTGATTTAAACAGCCAATCATACGAATGTCTGCCTATGATATACAGGGGCTATAAGTCTTATATCAACAATTATATCAGCTTTTAAAAATACATCAACTCAATGTAAGGGCTAAATTTATTATGATACAAAGTTGATGATAAATTTCTATACATTTATTTGGCTGAAGTTGAAGTTTAGTATATAGTATTTGAGTGATATCGAAGAAAACAAGACTTCTAGCTTCAAGTTTATATTATTTATTATTTACCAAGATCAAATTTGACTGTGACACATGACATGTAATTAAATTTACATGCGTATCATCTACGCCTGAGGTCAGGAAGGCCTATTCAAAGAATTTAATATGTACAGTACCTACGTACTACATATTATGTATGTACATATGTAGCAAAACAATAGTTTTTTGTGCACCCTACATTATTAATATTTATATGGCATAAACATAACTACAATATTAAAAGAAAGGTAATATTATATCTTTATAACAGTTAAAAATGGACATCCACATAAGTTATATGTGACGATTAAGCATTATGCAGCGAGAAGGTGCTTTATGCATACTTATAATCGAACAGGTTCGTTTTATACTGTTTACATCATCGTCGATTCCTGTTACTCTCATTTGTTTACATTATTTAGACATAAAAGAATATATAAAGCGTTTTACATCCTTTCTTTTCTATAAAATGCTTTTTTTTTTATCTGCACCGAAAGCTTATAATTCCGTCCTATATATAATTTCTACGTGCTTATGTGCGCACGTACATACATTATTATTATGTTCACTTAAAATAGGCTTTTTTTCCACGAAAATCAGTTCGATCTTACGATTCTCGGAGAATTAAAGCCGTGGTAGTGTTTTATATTGGTAGCTGATTCTTAATATACCTATAATAATAAGCTTTAGTACATCTCCATTCCAAGTGTTTATACAAAGTGATTTGGAATTCAATTGAATGAATATGTATGAAAAAAATATACAATTTTATCTTCCACTAAACAAAGGACTAAATGAGCCATTATTCTTAAGCTATATTAGTAATTTGTGAATACGTGTAAAACCACTTTGAAGCACTTTCCTAAAACTCCTATAGAACCCTAATTTTTGATATCTAATTTGGACTGTATGCGAATTTATCATTTCTTCTAAATTATAAGAACCCTTTTCCTTTTTTGTTTAAATTTTTGGATTTTCCCCTTTAGCAAATCAAAGTTATGTCTCTCTTTTGGTTTATATGAGAGCCGAAAACGCAACCTTTTCTTCTTATGATTTGGGGTGTCGTCAATCAAAACGATGCATAGTGAGATCCGACATAAAAGATAAAATGTCGTGTTTGTTACATGTTACTTGTAAACTTAGCTAAAAAGTAATGTGCATTTAATTAATGACACCACATACATGACCTAATTTTGTTTATTGTTAATTAATTATTATTATTAATTTATTATAATAATTATAACTAACCCACTAAAAAACACCCTATTTAGCCAACTTCTAATGGGTTTGAGCATTATTAACATAATTTTTAACTTCTTTTTGGGGACGTCTAAAGCGGAAGCAAATCATGTGATCAACCGCCAATCAAATTATAGAATTTTGATGATCTCCGGAGAAACAAAAAATAAAAACCAAAAACCCGAAAAATACAAAAAACGGCCGTCTAAACCTACCTCGAGTAGGTTAATCAAAAATGTCGAGAAGGCAATTTTGCTTATATTTAACTACCTAAAACCTATCCTGACCCTAATATTGGATGACCTAACCCTAAAGTTAATCGATAACATTATTAAGAATATGAGTGCCTCCGCTTTAGACGTCCCTTCTTTTGGTATTTATTTGACGATTGCGGGAACTACGAGATTGATAAAAAAATATCTAGTGATAGGTGACAAAAGAAAAAAACTTTTCTATTTCAAAATTTTGCCTAAGAAAAAAAATACTACTAATAATTCTGGTTTAAATGTTACCCTAACGATTACACATTCCGGTTTTGTGATCTCACGACGTACCATTTTATTCTGTCATTTCAGCTATTTCTAATAACACACTTTTTTGCCAACAATTGTTAATGGCTACACGAAATATGATCCTTCCTAAAATTGGGAGTTGGCATAGAAGGTTCGTTATACCTCAAACTAGTTTCATATTGGTTTCAGTTTGGTTTTTTTTTTTTTTATGTCTAGTTTTAGAAACAAAAAATTATATTCCACGCCATAATTTTGAAAAAACAAAACGTTTCGGATAAAGAAAAGGGTTGTATGTGTTGTAAATGGGAACGGAATTAAATAGGCTTGGAATTTCTTAATAAAATCACAATTTTAGAGTAGAATTTATTTTATGTAAACCTACATCCTAACACTAAAAATCCTAAGAAATCCCAAATCAACTTATATTTTCGTTCCCATTTACAACAAATGCATACTTATTGTTGTATTATGTATGTGCGCTCAAGCACACTCAAAATCGTGTGATTCCCATAAGTGCCTCTTAGGGAAAGCTTAAAAACCGCGTTTATTCCGTGTATTCCGTTCGGGTTGATTCGGAATCTTTACATTCCTTTTTTGTTTATTTCTATTTTCATTTTTTATAATGCTAAAAACGTTAGTAATAAAAGAAAGGAAAAACAACGAACTTTATTAACCTTTATGAAATACGCCATTAGCAAAAAAATGTTATAGCTGCATGAAAAACCGTAAATAAATCGGTTATTGCCGTTAAGTAAGCAAAGGATGATCATATAATAGTGGAATGGTGTATTGGATCGATAAAATTTTGTCTACGAATCTGTTCTGATAAAAATTTTCCTCTCATATAATCTCTCTTATTAACAACTCTGACCCTAAATCTTAGTAACCCTAAAAAAACAAAAAATGCACCTTAAAATATTTTAAAAAACAATATGAACATTAAAATATTCTTTTTATACATATATTCTCACGTGATTTTAATTACCAATTATAAAAGTAAAACCTACAATTTTGATACACCTGTACCTATTTTTTGATACATCCAATAATACCTTAAAACTAAGCAGTAAGATTGTACATAATTATAGTAAAAGATAATAAAAAGTATACAAGTTTTAGGGTATGCTTAGATGCATCAAAAAAGTAGGTGCAGTAGTATCAAAAATGAATGTTTTGCCTTAAAAAACCATCTGCTATTAAAGAATCACATTTTATTTGAGGCACCCTAAATGTAATTATTATAGAATTATCCATATTTGTCTCGCATGAAAGTAATTGTTTTATTGATTTTTTCAAAAAATCATTAGAAAAAATACATATATAAACCTATGTTTTCTTCTTTCTGTGCTTGCTGGTTTTTTTTTTTAGATTTTTGAGGCGGATAATTTTTTATAAAAAAATTCATTGTATAAAATACATAAAATACATAAATAAACTTACGTTTCTTTTTTCTATATTTGTTGTCTTTATTTTTTTTTTAAGAATTTTGAGGTGGATAACTTTTGCTTCAAATATATATATTTAATACCATGCCAAAGTATCGCAATAAAAAAACTACCATTGCTACTTCCTCTTCCGCGTTTACATCAATACATAATTTTAAACCATCATTTCCTCCAAAAATCACGATCGATGAGTTAATTTCAAAATCACTTAGCAACTCTGATTCTAAATATAATCGAACTCCTAATCCATTCATTATTTATCGGAAAGTTTTTAATCGTGAAATATCAAAATTGAAACTAGATCTATCTTTAAAAGAAATTTCGACAAAAGCTAGCGAGAGTTGGCATAAAGAGACTGAACACGTTAAAAATGCTTATAGGAAGCTTGCTGAAGATGCAAAAATCAACTTCAAAAATATTGCACCTTTATGTGTCGTTTCTGATAAACATTATGATATGAATAACGTGAATAAAGACAATTCTAATGGATGCTTAAAAATTCTTTATTTTGATCCAAAATGCGTCGACAACAGCAATAACCAGGAAAAAAATATGAAAAAAGAAGACAATAACTATGATTTGACTTCAATATCCGATACAAATATCGATGCAATGCTAGGTGTAGATACTTTTAATTTCGTTCCTACTCCGATCAATGGGCACACAATCTACAGTATACCATTTACTTCGGATTATGATCCTTCAAAGTTTGAACACAATAGAAGTCCGAATCCTGAATCGGAACCTTCTATTTCATTATCTCCAGAAAATGGAATCTATTCAAGCTTACATAATCAACCTTTATGGGATTCTCCGAACGACTTATGCCAACATCCTTTCGTAAAAAGGCTTTTTGCACGGATATATAATTTAGAATTCCTTTTAAGAATTAATGGAATAACATTTAGTGCAAATCCATGAAATTATGACCCTGTATACATGATAACAGTACTTTTATGGTAAGCTTTAAAATAAGGATTTATTTTTTCATATGTTCAATTGGCTGGAGCTGAGGAAAGAGAAGTGAAAGCCTTCAAGTTATACTCTACGAATTTTTGGCTGGAGCTGAGGGAAGCGAAGTGAAATCCTTCAAGTTATTATTACACTCTACGAATTTTCGGAGCATACAGAAATTGAACCTAAATCAGGTTCAACGTTTGGATAACAAATTCTTGGTTTAAAATATAGTAGCTGACTTTTAGTAGAATATGTTAACCGACTTTTAATAAATTATACGTAAAATATAGCAGCTACTTTTAATAGAATATATTAACTAACTTTTAATCATTTACACGTAATATATAGTGGTTGACTTTTAATAGAATATATTAATTACCTATTAATAAATTACACGTAAAAATATAGTAGCTGACTTTTAATTAAAAAAAAGAATTGTTTATCAGTAAAAATAAGAATTTATATTGTCATACATATGTCATCGCATCGTAAGCAAGAATATCTAATAAGTAAAAAAAAACAAAAAAAAACCCCCCCCACTGCCATGGTTTCTTTTTAGTTTAGTCAAAATGGGAAAGCAAAATGAACTACACACCCAAACAAATGGGGTCTTTGCCTTGAAAATCACCTTCCGACATTTCCGATCGGGTTAATTCATTGATTCAAGGGAAATGATTTGCGTACATCGATTTCGTGTAACTTTACGTACATCAATTTTTTTTAGCCAATCAAATTTGCTGCGCCTCCAAAATCCGGTACTAGCGCTACAATTTCATTGGCCAAAAAAAATTTATGTACGTGATGTTACACGAAACCGATGTACGCAAATCATTGCCCTTGATCCAATAGTAGAGATGGGCATTCTGCATTATGTGCATTACATTATGCAAAACATAATGTCGGCATTTTAAATTTTAAAAGTGCGTATAGAAATTACTATATAATTTTAATGCAACAAAAATTAATAAAATATTATATTTTATATCATATGTAACACTAAGTGATATGTAGCATCAGTTAGTGATTTCCCAGTTAGTGATTTCCTAATATGAGGTTTGAAAATACCATGAAATAGTAAACTTCTGTCTAGAGATGAGAAAGGTTGGGTATGAATCTTGCCTCTTGATTTTGGTAGAACATCATGATTGTATAATGTTGCATGCTGCATTATGCAATGCAGAGCCAAAAAAATATGCATTCGCACATCTCTATTTAATAGTTATTCTTGAATTGAATCAATAAAGTTAAAAGATGATTAACATATGAACATGAAGATTCTACCACAAAATCTCGACATCCAAAATCTCGAAACCATAATCCCGGTGTGACAATTAACATTTAAAAATTAGTAATCACAATAACAATCATTGTCAGACTTCAAATTTTAATTGTCACATCGCGCGATGTCAGTATTATGGCTTGTCGAGATTTTGGATGTCTGGATTTTGTGGTAGAACCGAACATGAACCGGTACTCGGGTTTATTTTGTCCGAATTAACACTATCGGAAATGTCGGAAGGTGATAAGACCCCAAATAGCTATAAAAAATGAAACTTGAAGAAACAAAAAAGTTTGATGACTGAAGAACAGCCGAAAAGGTGAATCAGAAAAAAGATTGGCTCGTCGCAAACATCTCATATTGATAATATTAAAGCGAAAAAGAACATAAATCAAACGAACAAACAAATGAAGAAGGTAGCCTAAATAAAAAAATACTATGTTTAAATCAAATTTTGAATGAAACAATTGATGGTGATCTTGACCTTCTCAAAAAGTTTCGAGATGCTGTCGCAGATCTTAAGCATAATTATTGCCCTACTTATAATCTTTTTCTTCAGTTATTAGGTTTTTTCTGTCAGCCATCGGGTGACACCGGATAAATATTTGGAAAAAATAATTTGCAAAAATAGAATAATTGGCACAATTGGTGCTGCAAAAAAATTTTTTTTTTGGAATTTGAAAAATGGGTTAGCGGATTATGCAAAACGAAAAACAACTTGCGTGACCTAAATAAATATATATGTATATATATATGATGTATATATTATAAATTTACTTAAAACTAGGTGCTTGAGTTGCTTAAAAAAGCTAAAAATGAGCGTGATGTATTGTATTGTGCTGGTACATTATAATATTTATGCATTTATATTTGAACTACGGATCTTGAATGAATATATTATAATTAACCCAGTTACACACGGTTCATATCCGTGGTTTTCGACCACGGATTTAAATATGAACCCGTGTGTGTAACTGGGTTATTCAATATATCCATACAATAATATTTGTCACGGATCATGGTGAAATCGGATCATCGTGAAATTTGAACCTATTTTATCACGATTTTTAAAATTTTTTGGGCCTTTTTTGTCAGCGTTTTTTTTTATAGTTAAGTTAGGATTTAGGGTTAGAGTTATTAGTAAAAGAGTATAGGTGGATTTTGGTAGGGCTTATATTTTCAAATTGAGACCCCCAAATTTCACGATGATCCGATTTCACCATGATCCGTAACAATATTTATTACATCACGGAGAATTATTAAATTTAGTTAAAATTCGCTCACTTAGAGATTAAAATTGGTTTTATTTTTTATGTTAAAATCAAAATTTGGTGGTTTAACGTAATAAAACCAGTTCGAACTCTACGGTCACCGGATCCAAGTATTTGGCTCCAAATTTAAATTTTAGTTATCATATTTCTATATCAATAAACATTGATAAAGCTTGAATAAATTTTTTGTTATGTGAATTATGATGGTAGCGCGTTTAACTGAAAATCTACCTTACTAGATATATTGTTTTTCTATCGGTTGCCGTTATTAAGTTATTTATTAATTCTTTTCAACATAACAGTAACACTGTACATGGGTACTTTTATAATCCTTCCACTATTTCAGGGTGAGATTACTAACTTATTAACTAGGATTATTGTTACATAATATTACAAAAAAATACGTAAAGAAAATACCAATTTTGTCATTAAATTCAGAACAATCCAAAAATTTAGCAATCGAATAAAGGTTTGTAATTGCAGAGATAACTTTATAATGCTTGTGATAAGGTGGTCTTGTAATTCAACGTACAGTGGCGGTCAAAAGTAATTGAACAAAAAAAAA